CCATCCCCACCCTCTGAGCCGCATTTGGGGGTTTGCAGAGCAACAGTGAGAGATTTCAAGGAGATTTTTGCCTCTCTGTGAGCATTTCCCGCTGTGTTTAAGCCTGCAGAGTGCTGGCTGTTGGTTGTGGTTGCTGGAAGAGCTTGGTGCTCCCTGCAGGAACCCACCTTGCCCCACCTCTGCTCCCCAGCGAGGCTGCATTGCCACGGGAAGCTCATCCAGGGAGTGCTAAATTTGCCTTGAGATCTCCCTGCAGCACAGAATTCGGGATTTTAAAGCTCTGAATTCTGCCTGTTCTTCTTCTTTCTGCCATTTAATACCAGTTTAATATTGTCTCTTGCTGCCCACGCAGCTGTGAAGGAGCTCAGGTGTGTAAAGGAGCTTTAAATCCATCCTGGTGGCTGCAGAAAATGAGGTTTTTGTCCCAATCCCTCCTGTTTGTTTACAACAGCAGCTAAAAGATGAATATCTGGGATAAAACTGCACTGTTTTTATTTTTACATTTAACATTCTCTTTTGTTTTTCCAGCTGTGGGGAGCTCAAAAAATCAAACAGGTAATACACTTTTTAAATATTCCCGATTTTCCTTATTATTTTCAAGTATCTCTGCTTTTTCCTGTCCTCCCTCATTCCCTTTGCCAGTTGCTGTTTTGCCTTCCCATGGAAATGTAAATTCAGAGAACACTCTGCCACCAAAAAGCCTGATTTTCTTTTTTTTATATATATATATATTTATATATTTTGATGTCTTCATTTTCTCCTTCCTGTCTAGTCAAGAGCTTTCTTGTCTCCAGTTTTTTGCAAATAGTTTGACAGTTCCTTGGGAAGATTTGTGCCTGTGCTGTACCTTCCTCCCCACGGCCCCAGATCCCTTGGGAATTGATTTCTTTCCTTCCCAGTTAATTCCAGTGCAGCCTCCTGGGCTTGGCAGAAGATTTTTGGGGGAAATGTGGTTAAAAATGGGCCATCAGCAAACAGATTTTGGGTTTTTAGGGGGGTTGGGATCTCCAGAGGCACCAGGGCTGAGGAGCTGTGGGTGCACATCGAGGTTGGAGTCTCTGGAAAATCCAGGGAAAATCAGGTGTGGGGATTTCGGGTCCCTTGTGGTGCCATCCTGGGAGGGCTGGGCCTGCCTGGGGTTATCCCAGCTCCTGCTGGGGGAGAAACTTCTGGAAGGGGATCCACACCTGGAATGGGATCCACTCCTGGAATGGGATCCACTCCTGGAATGGGATCGACACCTGCAGGTGGGAGCTCTGGAATGGGATCCACTCCTGCAGGTGGGAGCTCTGGAATGGGATCCACCCCTGGAATGGGATCCACTCCTGGAATGGGATCCACTCCTGGAATGGGATCCACTCCTGGAACGGGATCCACCCCTGGAATGGGATCCACTCCTGGAATGGGATCCATATCTGGATGGGGATCCACATCTGGAATTGGATCCACACCTGGATGGGGATCCATACATGCAGGTGGGAGGAGTTCCTGGAATGGGATCCACTCCTGGAATGGGATCCACTCCTGGAATGGGATCCACTCCTGGAATGGGATCCACCCCTGCAGGTGGGAGAAATTTCTGGAATGGGATCCACTCCTGGAATGGGATCCACTCCTGGAACGGGATCCACTCCTGGAACGGGATCCACTCCTGGAATGGGATCCACTCCTGGAACGGGATCCACTCCTGGAGTGGGATCCACTCCTGGAATGGGATCCACCCCTGCAGGTGTGATCTCTGGAATGGGATCCACTCCTGGAATGGGATCCACCCCTGCAGGTGGGAGAGGCTCCTGAAGCGACCCCTCGGTGTTGTTTGGCCCCGAGGCCTCGGGGTCTCCCCCGTGACCCCTTTGATTCCCATTCCCGGCAGGATAAAGGGAATTTTCTCCTCAGCCCCAGTCCAGAGCCCATCCCTGTGCCCCAGCCAGGCTTTTCCCAGATTTCCTGCCCAGGACATTTCAGCCTCAGAGGAGCTGCTGAAAACAGGCAGGGACAGAAAAGAGATTTCCCTTTCCCTCCTAAATCTGCCTTTCCTGGGGTCCAGGTGCAGCTTTTGGGGAGCCAGGAGCAGGAAGGAGCTGGGAGGGTTCCTGATCTCCTCCTGGATGCTGAGTTGCTGCTGGATCACAAAATCAGTGCTGGGGAAGGGTTTTGTGGGGGCTGCTGAGCCCAAACCCCCTTTGCTGGGAGCTGGGAAAGTGAGGAGGGTCCTGGGGGGGAATTTTGGGGGCTCAGAGGAGTTTTGGGGCTGGGGGTGGCTTTGCTGTGCCCTCACTGTGGCTCTGGTGACACTTGCAGGCCATCATCCACCCCGACACAAACGAGACCATCTTCATGCCTTTCCGAATGTCAGGTACGGCACATCCCCCCCTTTCACCTGGAATTCGGATAAAATCCTGGGGAGGGGTCTCCTCCTCCTCAACTGAGCCTTATCAACATTTAGACAAAGATCAGGAAGGAATTCCAGCACCAAAATCCCTTTGTAGGTGAGGAAAATGAAGATCCTGTGAGATTTAGTGTTTAATAGTTTCCTTTTTCTCCCTTTTCTTTTTCCCCCTTTTCTTTTTCCCCTTTCCGTTTTCCCCCTTTTCTCCATTTTCTTTTTCCCCACTTTTCGTTATTCCCCTTTCTTTTCCCCTTTCCTTTTCCCCTCTTTCTTTTCCCCTTTCCTTTTCCCCCTTTCTTTCCCCCTTTTGTTTTCCCCCTTTCCTTTTCCCCCTTTTAATTTTCCCCTTTTGTTTTCCCCTTTTCCTTTTCCCATTTTCCTTTTCCCCCTTTTAATTTCCCCCTTTCCTTTTCCCCCTTTCCTTTTCCCCCTTTTGTTTTCCCCTTTCCTTTTCCCCCTTTTCTGTATTCCCCTTCCTTTTCCCCCTTTGTTTTCCCCCCTTTCCTTTTTCCCCCTTTCCTTTTCCCCCTTTCCTTTTCCCCCTTTCCTTTTCCCCCTTTCCTTTTCCCCCTTTCCTTTTCCCCCTTTTCTTTTCCCCCTTTTCTTTTCCCCCTTTTCTTTTCCCCCTTTTCTTTTCCCCCTTTTCTTTTC